CCCTTTTCTTGCCATTTTGGAATATCTGGATGCAAGTATAATGTAATTAGCATTTTTGCACTTTTTATAATTTTTTCATTTATCCATGTGTACAATTTTAAACGCCATTATGTAGGTAATTCACATTTTTAAGTATTTGTATTATAATAATTTAACAAATACAAGTTTTTACTTGATTTACCTCAATAAGACTAAATGTCCTTTTTAAGGCCCGGACAACACCAACTGACACCAAAGAACTGCGCAGCAGACGGACCCCACTGTTGTGTCTCCTCGCGTCTCCTTGCATGTGTCGCACTGGAACACACCGCAAAGAACTTCAGCGACGGCCAAGACGCAGTAGGAACTGCGCATGCGTGAGTGGCATAACGGTCTCCTTACCAGCAGGTGGGGCAGTAGTGTGTGTATTCGTCATTGCCAAAAAGAGGCAACAACGGAAGACAGACTGCGTGATAACCGAGAGAAGAAGAACAGACTGCGTGATATAAACAAACAACAAATAGCGTGAGCGTTCCATTTTCCCTCTACAGCGAGAAGCTCATGGGGCTTTCCCCAACCTGTGTCGAGAGCTGGAGTTAAATGAGATCTCAGATTTGCCTTCTTAATCGTTTGTTTGGGTCCCTCACTTCCGTTTCGCTTCTCATGCACTGATTCGCTAAGCTGAACATCCAATCAGAGTGATTTATTTTGCCGACTGCCTTTGGCCGAAAAGGCGTCAGCGAGGCTGAGCAGTATGAGGCATGGCTACAATGGGAGATCTGTTTGGTATTTTGAAAAAGACATGTTTTGTATAGGTATGGCCCTACAATATATTTTTCAAATATAGCATGATAGGTCCACTTTAAGTTTTGATCTCTTTCATTTGAACTCATAATTCATTAAATGCTGCTATTTGAAAAAGATCATGGCCTTAAACCATCTCACCTGACCTCAAATAACGCCGTATCAGAAAGCCTTCACTTTTAAGAAGAACGCTTTATGAAGCGGTCAGTGTACAGTAGCTACAATCAGATAGGTAGGTAGGTAGGTAGGTAGGTAGGTAGGTAGGTAGGTACTTTATTGATCCCAATTTGGGAAATGTTTGTGTTGCAGCAGCATAAAAAACACAAGGCAATGTACATAAGAGATAAGATACATAATAAGATTTCACGCCAAAGAGTGTGAGGGTGAGCCGGATGGAAATTGGACCTAATTTTTCTGTCATTGGTGACCCCTGACTATTCTTCTAATGCCACCATAAGATCATCTTCATTTAATATTTTGAATAAAATATCTACTTGAATTAGATTATTTATCTTATAGCACTTTCAGCTAAAGCTCTTTCAATCAGAATTAGAATATCTTTATTCTGTATGAAATGTAATCTTCTTCTCTTCTCTTTGATTCTCCTCCTGTACTTCTTTTATTCCCTCATTTCTGAATAGACTTAGCTCATGGATCCAATGCTAATAGGACTTGAGTGACAAAAACTCTAAGTGTAGATAATGTCAAGAAGTCACGTGAAACTCCGGCAACATTAACTCAGTTTTGGTCGTCTTTAACGCTGTCTTCAACACAACTGCTACTTTGTTGATCCTTTCATGAATGATTCATTTTCAAGGCCTGAATGTTAATGTCTGTTCTCTATACCAACAATCAAGAGGAACTGGTACGAAAGGGAAGCCAGACGTACAGCAGGTGAATCTGCATAAGTGTCATGACAGAATACGTGTTATTGTCTGTCGAATGTTTTTCTCCAAGCTTTTGTTCAGCTGTGCTTGAGAGGTACAGGCAGTCACACAAACACCGACTCCACTTCTCCTTTCTACTGCCTGACCCTTACATTTTTAATCGAGACACTCATCTCTCTTTCAATACACAACATCTTTGATGATGAGACGCTCTTTGATGGCAAGTGAATTTCATTTTCGTCTAAAAGCTTGCAAAGTATTCGGTTCAAGACGATCACCGCATTCGTGACTTCTAGGCAATTACTGTAATGATGCAAAATGGTAAACATTGGCCCAACATCTAAATAATTTAACAGACTGAAAACATGCTGCTCCAATGTTTATGAAATTCGTTTTGTGTTTACACAGTGATCATTTTGAAATGTTCCATGGCATTGAGCTAGCAGGGAAGGTCGTGTTTGAATGAACTAAATCCATGATATTTAAATGGCTTCTCTAGTGACTCGGTTCAGACAATAGACTCCACCCGTGTTAAGTCTTTGCTCGTGCAGCCAAGTGTAATGCATCTGACAATTATTTACAGAAGCATAAGTCATCTTATTGGCATGATTTTCGGCGTATGCTTGCTTTTAGCTTGAATGAACTTCAATGAAGTAAACTGTAATGTAAATTCTGCTTACAGCCTTTGAGACTGCATTGATGTTTGCAGCACGCTCAGTTTAATGTTAGATGGGGCATCAAGTATCAGAGAAAATCACTGCAAGAGAGCTCAGTTTATGGAGAGAAAATATGTTGAGCTCCATTTGGACACAAGTGTCAGGTCTTTGTGGCTGATATCTATTAAATAGGGTTTTAACATCCCATATGTAAAAGTTAATTGATTACATGTCACTTGAATCTTTTTTTACCTAGTCATTTTGAGTACAGAGAAGGTTTTTTGTTCAATTTTCCCTGATTTCTTTGCATTTTTCAGTAATTTTTTTAATTATTATTATACATTTTAGCATAGTAGTTTGCCCACATCAAACAACTGATAAAAGTTCCAGTTTCCTGTACATAGAACCATGCCTGCCTGGGACTCTGTTCCACATGTCTTCAGTCAGTTCTGGACCCTATGACTCGGACACTAGTTCTACCAAGGCTTATTAGAGGTAAGAGTGGTAGGAGAGAAGTGGAGTTATCTTTGTATTTAGGCTGCAAGTCGACAAAGGTGATCAAGTGCTGATGCTAATAATGATCCGATTCATTTGATATTGATTGTCTGCCGATACCGAATCCTGATCCAATTCTTCTATTTCCCAGATAATACAGCTGCACCGTGTACACTAGCTCTATTTGTTGTTGCCATTGTAATTAACCATAAGCAATTGTTGACTGTAACGTCTATGCCAACCAACTGTAATTTGTAATGTATTTTACCATACTTTAACGGTTCTGGCCACCACAGCAGCTCAAATGTTAACATACATGTCAAGTTTTCTTTTTACAGTGTACTTATATCCGTACATTTCTTTTCAGTTTGCTTCAAGAAGTGGCTTCAACAGACAGAAGTGCAGGCCAGAATGGGAAAGGCTGGAAGCTACACAACGGGAAACATTATGGACATGAACAAGGAAAAACAAAAAAAAAACTTTCTTTGTTGCCTTTTTCTTATCATACATAGTG